TAGCTCAAGCATGATTGTTCGTAGTTAGATTAATTACCCGCCTGGCATTTAGTGAAGGGGTTTTATTCCCTCCCTAATTTCAGGGGAAAATCTCTACCTGGGGAAACAACCTTTCTCGGAGAGGTGACCTTGGTTAAAACACGTAGTGCCAAGAAGGTGAGCAAATGTATTAAGAACAGTATGCCATATATGCCAGATCCCTTGAAACAGCAAGGATGGACCGGCTCCCGGCATCCTCTGAAACACGAACATGATGAGACAGAAAGAGTGAAGGCATTCAGTAACAGTCAGATAGCAGTGAATTGTAAATAAACTGTATAACGTAAGCTAAGAAAGAAAGTATAAAAACAGTGATGGAGCCAATAAAAGTGACTTCCTTCTGTACTAAGCCATCTGGGACTGGGGTGGAAGGGTGAAGAAGAGAATTTTGGGCTTGGATACAGAATGGAGGGGCAGGTTTCACAGATGGAAGACAGTTTCTATCGCTATAGAGCACTGCACAGCCCCTTTCACAGCTGTGTCTTTCTCATTGCAGTTGTACCTGCCTCTTAAACCAGTGGTTCTCAACCTTCCTAATGCTGCAACCCTTTAATACAGTTCCTCATGTTGTGGTGACCCCCAATTTCATTGTTACAAATTGAACATAATTAAAGCATACTGATTAATCACGAAAACAATATGTAATTATATATGTGTTTTTCAATGGACTTAGGCGACCCCTGTGAAAGGGTTGTTTGACCCCCAAAAGGGTCACGACCCACAGGTTGAGAACCGCTGTCTTAAACTAAGAAGGAGTGAAGTTCTTGTTTTTTTTGCCAGAGGATATTTTTTCATTGATTTTATTTATTTTTAATTTTTTTTTTTTTAGAGAGTAGAAGGGAGGAGGAGAGACAGAGAGAAAGAAACATCTATTGCTTGCCTCCCACACGGATTCCAATCAGACCAGGGCTGGGGATCAAGCCTGCAACTGAGGTACATGCTCTTGATTGGAATCGAGATCAATTTATAAAAATGGTTCTAAGACTTGTGTAGGGGTCACGTGAGAGGTACAAGAGCATGATTATCTGGTGACCATAAGCTCACTTTTTCTTCCAGTAACAAATTGTGGAGTTTTGTTTTCATTAAGGGAACCCTTTCCTAGGTTAGTCTTTCTTCCCCTCAAAGTTCAGCATGTCTGAATCCCACTCACTGTCTCATAATAATCATAGGCTTTTACTGTAGCTGGTTTTAAATTATCTACTTGGATGTCTTGTTCCACCAAGAAGGAGAAACTCAAGGCTTGTTTGGTTAGCTGGAGAGACAGAAAAACTGAATTAAAATGGGAGATTAACTTAGTTACTAATTATCATCCTCTCTTCTTAAGATATTATGCTATCTATTTGTAGCAAAACTCACAGAAAGAATGAGACATTTGGGGACTTGCATAACACACTCAGTGACATAAAAGGCAATTCTATGGACAGTCAAATGCAGTAAACTGAGCATTGCTGACCAGTCCTGGCTTCATTTTCCTATGTAGTTATTTTGTTTCTTTTTTAAAAAAATATATATTTCTTTATTGATTTCAGAGAGGAAGAAAGAGGGAGAGAGAGATAGAAACATCAATCTCTGATATGAGAGAATCATTGATTGGCTGCCTCCTGCATCCCCCTACTGGGGATCAAGCCCGCAAACCCGGCAAGTGCCCTTGGCCGGAATCGAACCTGGGACCCTTCAGTCCGCAGGCCGATGCTCTATCCACTGAGCAAAACTTGCTAGGGCTCTATGTAGTTATTTTCTTCTCCCTCACCTGTGTATGTGAAAAGCATTAGCTGGAATCTGCACTGGTTTGTGGGGACGCTGGTACTGCCCCCAGATCTAGCAGTGTCACAGAGAATCTTACCTCCTCGAAGTAAATCAGGACACGGTTGGTGCTCACTTCAGTCCTTTGAATCTGAGGCCTTTCTTGGAGCTGTTGACAAGGAGGACAAGACAGAGATATGAGATGAAGAAATTTTAGGCTGAGAGAAGTTTTCAGATACTTATAATCTAACTGGTTACTCAGAAACATCCAAATGGATCATTTTGATTTCTTCAGAATATCTATATATATATAAAAATCCAGCTTTCAGAATGCCATAACGACCGTAATGCCCATTGCGACCAGCAAAACTGCCAACCTCTCGCAGCCCCTTCCCCTGGCAGACTCTGCCCCTGCTCACTCCCTCCTACCCCAATAGCCTAGGATTGGCACCCCTACCCCAATAGGGGGCAGGGCCAGCCAGCCCACCACCCACAGCCTCTCCCCATGGCCAGTCCCACCCCCAATGAGCCCCCACCACCCTGATTAGCCTGAAGCCTCTCCCCCTAGCCAGCTGTTGCCCCAATGGATCTCCCCACCCCAATCAGGGGTGGGGCCCACTGGCCAATCACCTGTGGCCCCTTCCCCCAGCCAGCTCGGATTGGGCCCTGATCAGGGTGGGCCAGCCAGCAAAGCTCCCACCATCTCCTCCTACCAGCAGGCTCAGCCCCGATCTGCCCTGATTGGGGTCAGGCTGGCCGGACACCACCCATGCACCAATTTGTGCACTGGGCCTCTAGTATTATAATATTTCACATATATCACATATTCAAGGTGGGCAAATGTACATTTACAGTTGTTCATATGGAAAATAATACAATAATTAATAAATAATAATACAAGGAGAAACTATTTTGTGTACTTATAATTGTAGGCCTACTTTTGTCCCCCAAAATTTATGTCCACACTTGAATAATTATAAAGGCAGTGTTTATTAAAATACATTTCATTTTAAAAATTGAGCTATCAGCTGTTCAAGTGTGTATACATTTTTTTGGACATCCTGTATATCCCCCTTTTTCTTTTTAGGTATAGTTGGAAGATAATTCAACACCATTCCATGTCCTCCTCGACGTCTCAGGGCTTGTTGGAACATTATTAACCATAGTATTTATTAAACATGTCTTTACTTGAGACCATATAATAATGATACCTACTATTAAAATGATGGAAACACTGGAGAAGCAAGTTTGAGAGAGTAAACTTCTTGAAAATGGAATCAATAAAAGAAAATTGACAAGTGTAAAGGCAACATTTATCATGACTCTGCTATCTGTAAGGGACTTAGGGTTTACCTTTTTCACTGATGGTCTCACAGGTATGAAGCCGGATACCATCTTTACATCAACAATGACCATGTTGGAGCTGGGTCGTTCTCCAATGTAACTATGGAGTCAAGGCATGGGGACAAGGCATTCAAACAAATTCTTTGGAATTCATTCATGATAAAAATCTTCCCTTCTCCTGCTCTGGCTGGTGTGGCTCAGTTGGTTGGAGCATTGTCCTGTATACTGAAAGGTCTCAGGTTCAAATTCCGGGTCAAGCCACATACCTAGGTTGTGGGTTCAATCCCTGGTTGGGGCACATATGGGAGGCAACCGATCAATGTTTATCTCTCACATCAACGTTTTTTTCTCTCTCTCTCCCTCTCTCTCTCCCTCTCCTTCCTCTCTCTCTAAAATCAATGGAAACATCCTTCCTCTCTCTCTAAAATCAATGGAAACATACAGGCAGAAGGAAGAGTATCAGGGAGTATCAGGTGTGGGAAATGTTGTAACTGATAACACAGAAAAGGGAGTGAGCCAATTCCAGAAAAAGTGAAGGGATCAGCCTAACTAGCTGGAAATATTCATGTTTACTGGGGAGAGGAAATATTTTGGGTAAAATATTACATAATTTTAGTCTTTGGATGAAAAATCTTTATGTTATCAAGAAAGTAATCTTATAAAAACACTGCTTTAGGAAGATTATCTACTTTACAGGAGAAAAGATCTGGGACTTTAAAGAGAGCAATAATCCACATCTGAAATAATAAGGCTTAACTCATAGAATATGGTTATGTCTCCATATGTATTCGTATATTTGTTTTTCTTCCTAGAGTTTCTCCACAAACCTGAGTGGAGGAGAAGCCCCCAGTGGGGTTTTGCTGCTTGGTGATCCATTTAACAATACGTGAAGCAACAGACAGATCTTCTGAAGATGGGGCAGGCTGGGCGGTAAGATGGGCAAGGAGCACGTAGGATGTCATCTCCACTTCAGCAGAAGGAGCCCGGGGTTGATAGGAGAATGCCTCAGCTTCTTGAAGTTTCCCAGGGCATTGCCAGTGGATTGAGTCCCCTTCGAAATGGAAAAAGACACAATTGTAAGCGCAGAGAATGGCTTCAAAACCTAATTCATGACATCATTATAATTAGAGCTCTTAAATTGACATAAGTGAAGTAAAAGTATTAAGTAATCACCAGCCCAGCAAATCTTTGCCAAGAAAGTAAAGGAAGTTCCCATGTGTCTTTCTGTTTATTACATACTTGTATGATAGTAGAAGGTGGGCTGTGTAGAGTTAACAATATCTGAATTGGCTACATAATTCATGTTACCTAGAGAATTTGTTTTTGGTTAATGATAATTATTCTTATTATCATCATAACATAACATAACAACATAACATAACATAACATAACATGACATGACATAACATGACATGACATGTATAATGTGGCATGATAGATATGAGTTCAATCGGTCCTCTTCCTTCTCCACTGGTGATTTTTGGAAGTAAATTTTGCAGAAGTAGCTCTTACCTTCTTTCACAGCCTCTTTGTCCAGTGATTGAAGCAGCTCACTTCGCTTGACCTGGTTTCCTACTAGGACAAAGGCATAGGCCAATAATGCCTTGGTCTAGACAAGACTTCCTTGGGCTTCTGAAGTGGATGCCCATGCCCTTTCCAAGCAGAATAGAGCATTGCGGATCACTGGGTGCTATAAAGAAGATGAGAGGGTATCTTAACACCTTGCAGACGGGTCACAAAAATTCTGTTTCCTGTTCTAAGGCTTGTGGCCAATGACTTATCTGGCCCCTGGGTAAATCTGGCAACAAAACTACTGGTCCTCAATGTGTTAAGATAGCAGGACCAGGTTAATGCACTGTCTCCAGGCTAATTCCTGATTAAAAGCCCCAACGTGCCTGTACAACCTCATAGATCAAGCCAGAGAATAACTTCCTCTACAGCTTCCAAAAGAATGTAGTCCTTTATGTTCCAGAGAAATGTACCAAATTTAAACAACACAAAAAACTACAACTCATTTCTTTAGAGTCTCATGACTTTTTTTCTTACATTTGTGAGAGGCAGGTACAGGGAATGTGCTAGTACATACAGTGACAGGCAGTGGTGTCTCCAGCAGAGCAATGGTGATGTAGGCAGAGAGAGTCACCACATCATCTACTCCACCCTGTAAGGATCAGAGGCAGAGATACTAAAACACTCCAATATTCATCAGCCAGGGGTGGCTAAGTCTACATTTCCCTGTGGGCATCTTGACTAAAAAGCATCTTTTCTTGAGTAGTAGTATTGATTTTCCTCTTTCTTCCTCCACCCTAAAATTCTTGAATCTGTCCCAAACCCCTTTCCCTCACTTTTAGTAATATATTGTTGTTGTTGTTTTCTCCACACTATTTTCATTCAATAAAAAAATGGCTGATTAATTGCTAGATATCAGATGCTTTAGAGTCTACCATCCTCCCTCAAAGCTATGTCACCAGGACTTGAGGAAATCAATAGGAGCATCATTGCTCTGACATATCACCATCTTTAGGAATTGGAAAAATGTTAAAGGTATCACCTTAATAGCATTGTTTAGCAGTGATCCAGAGCGCTGGAAACAGCCATTTTCCTTTTGCTTCTGTGAGAGCCAGGTGAGGGAATTCGTGATGTGTGAGTCCTCCACAAAGATGTGTGACCGGGCTTGAGAAAAGGCCTTAAGCACAAATGCAGTGAGCCTCTCCAGCAAAGAAGAAACTGAGGCATGAGGACAAGCTCACTCGGTGCACTGCCTCCAGACACTGATGGTCATAATTCAGTGAAGGAAATTACTGGGGGAACGTGTGGGAAAATGATACTAGAATACTGAATATTCTCTTCTTTGTCCAACAAATAGCTGAGTCTCTTTTGTAATTCTGTCAATTTTATTGGTTTCTCCAAGAGTTTATACTTTTCACTTTGTTTTTCCTCACGAAGTGTTTGTTGCAGCCTCCAAGACTCCCCACTACCAAAACTTCCATTTTCTTTTTTTAAAATATATTTTTATTGATTTCAGAGAAGAAGGGAGAGGGAGAGAGAGGTAGAAACATCAAGGATGAGAGAAAACCATTGATTGGCTGCGTCCTGCACACCCCACACTGGGGATTGAGACCACAACCTGGGCATGTGCCCTGACTGGGAATCGAACTGTGATCTCCTGGTTCATAGGTTGACGCCCAACCACTGAGCAACACTGGCCTGGCAGAAAACTTCCATTTTCTGAATGCGTTTACCACATCACAATCTCCTGTGCTTTCCAGGCTCCCCTTTCTTACTGTATGATGTAGAAGCTTCTTCCTTGATCATTTCACATTATGACACTTTCTGCCTTATATTTCCATTTTGGGGGAACATTATTTTATTGGCCTCTACAAAGCTATCAGAGCAGGTAAGCTTTCACAGATGAATGGTGAGATCACCCAGTCTGATGACACCCATATGGGTTTTTAAAGCATAACAGATTTCCATAAAAGAACTCCAAGTATCAGAGAATATTATTTCCGTAATTCTGAAATATTATGGTCTACAAAGAGCATATGGAAATAATTATCTTACCAAGTGTTTCCATGACTTGTACCACCACGATCCCCAAAGGTACTGTATGAACCATCGTTGTGTTTATAATTCAACTGTTGTTGGTACCCTGAAGAAGTTTGCATAGACTTATGAAATAGCAGAGACATTGGAGAAATAATCAGTATTTTCCTCAAAACTCATTGAGCAGTCATAGAAAAACTGCTGTTTTATTAAAATACTAGAGGCCCGGTGCATGAAATTGGTGCACTGGAGGTGGGGACCCGCTCAGCCTGGCCTGAGCCCTCTGGCAGTCCAGAAGCCCTCAGGGGATGTGCAACTGAGGGCTTAGGCCTGCTCCCCTGAGCTGGGCTCAGGGCTTCTGGCTGAGCAGCACTCCTCCTTTCAGAGTGCACTGACCTCCAGGGGGCAGCTCCTGCATTGAGCGTCTACCCCTTGGTGGTCAGTGCACATCATAGCGACTGGACATCGACTACTTCGGACACTTTGCATATTAGGCTTTTATTAAATAGTCCACTGTAGAATCCATGCTCTTAATCACCAACATGGGACGAGGCTGGGGATTCCTCTAGTCATTTTGGGGGGCATTTGGAGTTGTTAGAAACATAGAAATCATCCATTCTAACCCACACAATTTAGTCGAGGTCCCAAGAGAAGCTTCTTTTTGTGTCTCAGCTGGCTAGGTCAGAGCAGGGACCAGAACGTAGGTCTCAGCATTGTGGTCCAGTCCTATTCCTTTACAATTGCAGTACCCCAAAGCCACCCTCTCTTGGGCTGATCTTCCACCTTTTCCC